AATTAATCAATTCTAATCTATTATTTGCAAAACTAATCAATAATTTAGAAAACTAATCGATTATAATTAATTATTTGAAAAAATTATCAAATATGATCGATCATTTCGAAAATATAATCGATCAGAATCAATTATCGCTCGAGCGAGACTAAGCTCGCTCAAGCGAAATACAACCCGAGAGTACCAATTTTGTGCAGGAGGCGTTTCGCTCGAGCGAGAAAGTTGTCGCTCAAGCGAGATACGAGTTTAGATAGCGGTTACACGGAACCGCTCTTAAAACTCACTTAGATAGCGGTTAACCGTTGAACCGCTATTATATGGTTTCAATTATGATCGGTCGAATGCAATTATGACCGATCATAACTATTTTAATCGATTAAATCTAGTTTCAATCGATTAAAACAATTTCTGCACAGCGTTTTAATCGATTAAAACTTATTTTTATCAGTTAAAATAACTTGAAAACTTATATTAACTATTTTTTTTATATTATGTTTTTAAATTTTCTATTAGAGAAAACCTTTCAGAATTCAAAATGTTAAATACTTTTAAATATTAAAATTAACTTTATCAAAAATTAGGAAAAAGAAATTAATCCAAAACAGTTCAAAAATGTATTATAATATTGTCAATTTTGAGTTTAATTATATTGTTCATTCTTAAAGTAGAAAAATATATTGTAATTATTTTAATTTAATAAAATATAATTTAAAATTTTAATACTAAAATCAAATGATTAAATAATAATAAATTTAATTCTTTAAATTCAGTAGTTAGAAACTAAAATTATAGTTTCTCTGTTTTAAATAATTAAAAAAAATATTAAAAAAATCAAAACTAGTATTATCTTAAATTTATTAAAAGTGTAATTAAATATCTATTTTCTTAATTTTATTTGTTTCAAACTTCTCAATTCTACATTTTTGTAAGTTCTATCATTATATTATCATCCTCATCTCCTCCCATGTTCTACTTTATCTTTACAATAGTCAATATTCTTAACTAATTTATAGTTTTAATTATAATTTTTTAGTATATATTTCAGAAATTAAGCAATTCTAATCTATTATTTGAAAAACTAATCAATTCTAATCAATAATTTAGAAAACTAATCGATTATAATTAATTATTTGAAAAAATTATCAAATATGATCGGTCATTTTGAAAATATAATCGATCAGAATCGGATTTCGCTTGAGCGAGAGTAATCTCGCTCAAGCGAAATACACCTCGAATACCTAATATGCACTTTAGATAGCGGTTATGAGGGAACCACTATTATATCCTCTCAATTATGATCGGTCATTTCAAGTTATGATCGATCAGGATCGTATTTCGCTCGAGCGAGAGTAGTGTCGCTCAAGCGAAATACAACCCGAGAATGCAAATTCTGTGCAGTTGGAGTTTCGCTCGAGCGAGAATATTGTCGCTCAAGCGAAATACATTTTAGATAGCGGTTCCACAGGAACCGCTCTTAAAAGTGCACTTCTAATAGCAGTTAACCATTAACCGCTATCTTAATTATACTTTAGATAGCGGTTAAGGTGGAACCGCTATCATATCATCTCAATTATGTTTTGCAAAATGCCTCTACAAATGTTTTTAACAATTAAAAACAAAGTATTTTGACAAAAGCTTTCTCAAATGCCTCTACAAAGTATTTTTAACAATTATATTGAGTTTAATTCTACAAATTAAAAGATTAAATAATAATAAATTTAATTCTTTAAATTCAGTAGCTAGAAACTAAAATTATAGTTTCTCTGTTTTAAATATTTAAAAATAAAAATCAAAACTAGTATTATCTTAAATTTATTAAAAGTGTAATTAAATATCTATTTTCTTATTTTTATTTGTTTCAAACTTCTCAATTCTACATTTTTGTAAGTTCTATCATTATATTATCATCCTCATCTCCTCCCATGTTTCTACTTTATCTTTACAATAGTCAATATTCTTAACTAATTTATAGTTTTAATTATATTTTTTTAGTATATATTTCAGAAATTAATCAATTCTAATCTATTATTTGAAAAACTAATCAATTCTAATTAATAATTTAGAAAACTAATCGATTATAATTAATTATTTGAAAAAATTATCAAATATGATCGATCATTACGAAAATATAATCGATCAGAATCAACTATCGCTCGAGCGAGATAGACTCGCTCAAGCGAAATACAACCCGAGTGTACTAATTTTCTACGAGGGCGTTTCGCTCGAGCGAGAATGTTGTCGCTCAAGCGAAATACATTTTAGATAGCGGTTCCACATGAACCGCTCTTAAAAAATGACTTAGATAGCGGTTAACCCTTGAACCGCTATTATATGGTTTCAATTATGATCGGTCAGAATGCATTTATGACCGATCATAACTATTTTAATCGATTAAATCTCGTTTCAATCGATTAAAACAGTTCTGCAAGCGTTTTAATCGATTAAAACTTATTTTTATCAGTTAAAATAACTTGAAAAGTTTTAGGAGAAAGTTTTGCAGTATTTCAATCGATTGAATCGCTAAACAATCGATTAAATCAACTTAGAAGATTTTTTGTAAAGTGTTTTAATTAATATAAACGTTGTCAGTATCGGTTAAAACAAATCGTTAAAGAATCAAGAACGTATTAGTGGATTAAAAGAAGTTTTAACAGATTAAAACTGCACTTTTGATGATTAAAAGAATCTTTTAACAGATTAATTAAACCAATGAGTTTTGAAAATCTTCTATAAAAACAGTTTGGCTTGAACTTTTTAACATACATTGAATATATCATCTTTAAAAAATAAATAAATTTATATATATATATATATATATATATATATATTTTTTGCATTTTAATTTTCAAATATTAATTTTTTATGAAATTAATTTTAATTAAAAAAATTAAAGTGATATATATATATATATATATATATATATATATATATATATATATATATATCCAACTATTAAATTATTCAAGATATTAATATAAATTTAAAATATCAATTCAGTAATTAAAATAATTTTAATTTTTTATAAATACATTGAAATACATTTTTATTAACATACAAGTATATATATATATATATATATATAATATATATATATATATATATATATATATATATAAGAGACTAAATTAATAATTAATTTAATTATTGATTTAGTGACTAGATTCGATGACTAGAATCAGTGACCGATCGGTGACCGAATCGATGATCAGAATCGATGTGGACCGATTCGATGACCGATTCGGTGATCGAATCAGATGACCGATTCGGTGACTAATTTAATAATCAATTTTAATTTTTTTATTCACATGCTAAATAAAAAAATAAAATCAAATAATTATATTACTAAATTATTTAATAAGTTAGTAAACAATTTTTTTAAAATATTTATAATGTTATTAAAAATGTTATCAATTATTTTAAATTATTAAGTAAATTTATATTTAAAATATTTTAAATAAAATATTTATATAAATGAAAAATAGTTATCGGGGTAAAAATTATTTTTTTAGTGATCTGAAATTTTAGTCACTAAATCAGTTACTAAATATAAAAAAATTAATAATTACATAAATTAAATATAGATTAATTAAAAAAATAAATTAAATAATAAAGTGACTGAAATAGTAACTCGATTTTATGTGACCGAAAATTCGGTTACTATTTCGGTTACTTAGACTAAAAAATAAAAATTTGGTTACTTGATTCGGTCACCGATAGTAACTAAATATTTCGGTCAACGATTTCGGTTACTATTTGACATTTTTCTAGTAGTGTAAGAAAATTAAATATCGAGCAGTAAAATATGTTTTGTTGAATGATGAATTGTATAAGAGAGGTATCAATGGAGTATTGCTTAGATGTTTAGGAAATGACGATGCTTATTTAGCAATGGCAGAAGTACATAATGGAATATGTGGTGCCCATATGGTAGGCCAAAAAATGAGATGGATGTTAACTCGACAAGGATATTACTGGCCTTCGATTTTAAAAGATTGTATCGAGTATGCTAAGTCCTGTGAAGAATGTTAGAAGTTTAGTCCTATACAGCAAGTCCCTGCTAGCGAACTACATTTGATTATCAAACCATGACCTTTCAGAGGTTGGGTCATCGATTTAATTGGACAAAATTTTCCACAGTCATCGAAAGGACATAGATATATAATTGTAGCTGTCGATTACTTTTCAAAATGGGTAGAAGCAATTTCGTTAAAAGATGTCGATCAACAAGATGTAATTGATTTTATTGAAGAATACATTATTTATCGATTCGGGATACCATAGTCTATTACCACTGATAGAGGGACAGTTTTTACTGGTAAGAAAATGGTTAGATATGCTGAATCGAGAAATATTCAGTTATTAGCATCAACTCCATATTATGCCCAGGCTAATGGGCAGGTCGAAGCAATTAATAAAGTAATTATTGGATTAATCAAGAAACATGTCGGTAGTAAACCAAAAACCTATCATGAAACGTTATTACAAATTTTGTGAGCCTATCGAAATTTGCCGAAAGATTCCTTGCAGAATACTCCATATAAGTTAGTCTATGGGCATGATGTGGTTTTACCCATCGAAATAAATATTGAGTCAACTCGAATACAAAAACTAAATGATTTACCCAGCTGTGATTATTGGAACTTGATGTATGATGAATTAAATGAACTCGATGAAATAAGATTGCAAGCTTTGAATAATATTATTCTACAAAAGAATCAAATTGCTCGAGTTATAATAAGAAAGTTCGACAGAAAACATTTAGCGAAGGTGACTTAGTTTGGAAAACGATTTTGCCAATGGATAAGAAATCTAAAAGTTATGGTAAATGGTCGCCGAATTGGGAAGGGCCTTTTGAAATTGTTAAAGTGTTATCGAGTAATGCTTATTCGATTGTTGATTGGCATAATAAAGAGAAAGTCTTGTCGATAAACAAAAAATACTTGAAAGATTATAAACCTCGAATAAGGGAAATAAGCATTCAGAATTAATTCAAATATGTTCTACAAAATTTGATATTGAGATTTGAGTTGATCAAAATCTATTAACAATTGAATCCAAGAAGAGAGGTTCGAATTTTCTTCGACAACCACTTTCCGTTTGCGCTCCATGCTTTGCCCCAGAGAAAGTGTCACTTCCTTTGCAGAAGATTTGATCGAATTCATTTTTGTTGTGAGTAAATCGTCTTGTGCTTTGAGTTGTTGAAGTCTTTTTTCCAATTTTTCGATTTCACCTCTAACCAAAGACTGTTCTTTCGACGCCTCTTCAAGATCAAGCTTTTGATTTTTCAACAAGTTCGATTTCTCAGTTTGGAAGGTAGAAATGGTAGTCAACTCGGTCGCTATAGATTGTTTTTTTTTCCTTGCAGAGTAAGCTTTGTTAAATAAATCGGTGGCCGCTGCGACTTCAGCGTCAAAACTCTTTGGAAGTGTGTCATCGGGGAATGCCTCTATAGCAGTAAGAATCTCTTGGAAAAGTTGTTTTTTCTCGAGAGATTCCACCAAGACCTCGAGGGGTGAAGAATAGAAGAAAGACCTAAATTGTTGTATCAATTTGTTTGCCTCTTCAGTTGACGTCACAAGTGGTTTAGATGAATGGCTTGAAGGAGTGACGTCCTTAGATAACAGAATATCGAGAATTGAGAATGGATCTTCTTCAATGGTAGTTCGATATTCTGGTAAATCTTCTGGGGTAGGATCACTTATTTGAGGCAATGTCGATGAAATCAGTTCGACAGATGGAACCTTGAAAGGAGGAGAAATTGGTTGTTCTGCAGGGGATAGTGAAGGAGAATCTTGGATATGGACTGTGGGGATATTTACAATATTATCTAAAAGGGAAATAAGTTTGTTCGAGAAAATGAATTTAAAATCCTAATAGAGATAAGGTAAAAATAGGCAGTAAGGAAGAAATTTTTACCAAAAGGAGAAGGTGGTTCGATGTGCGTTGGTGCGGGGGAAGGGTTTTGTACATCCTCGGGTTTCTGCGATTCAAAATATAGGTTAGAGAAGGGAAACATGTAAAATGAGTCGAGAAAAACAGGATTTTTAAACTTTACCTCTAAAATTGGTACTCGTTGATTGGACCAAAGATTCGACATTCGTCGACACTCGTAGGCGATGGATGGTCCTGAAATATCAAAATTTGGAATCATGTTATAACCTTCTCGAATTTTAGATATACAATATATATATATATATATATATATATATATATATATATATATATATATATGAAAAGAGGGGAAACTTACGTGACTTGAATGAGTCTGTGTTGTTTGACCTGCTTTACTGACCGTATTAGAGTCCGTCGATAACGAATTTATGATAGGTTGAGCGGTTCGAGGACTCTTTTTGGATTTTTGTTTCTGAAAACAATGAGAAGTGAATCAGCTATAGAAAAGGAAATCAAAATAAACAAGATAATAGGGAATCGAAAAGAAACCTTTGATTTTCTCGGAGATAAGGAAATTGTAGTTGAGTGTTTTCGTTTTTGTGTGGGGGCAGATGGGTCCGATTCATCAAAGGACTCCCAATTTTTCTCAGAGATTGTGACTTTATGAGGCTTCGAAACTGTCGAGAAAGAAAAATAGTTAGATTACAATTTGAAGAAAATTAAAAGTATTTCTAAAAGAGGCAATAAAATCTCACCAAAAGGTGATGGAGTTAAAATCTTGACTCGATCGATATGGACAAGCTAGGGAGGAAGAAGATGTTGAGGAATGTTTAGGTAAGAGAAGTAGGATAGTTTCGATATCGAAATTTCCTTGTTCTTGGGTTTTGGTGAAATAGATTCTTTCCAGGATCTCAACTCTCGAACCCATTTAGGATGAGTTAAAGGTTTGGCGATTCCAAAAGGGGCTATAGGGAAAGTGGGAAGATGGTTGGGACAATACATTTCAAATGGGGTTTTTCCTTGAGGATTGACTATTTTGTGGTTCGATCTATTGGTGTCTGTTTTATTAGCTAGGGATATAACAACATTGTAAAATGTGTCTTCTAATTTAAGAGGGTTGTAGCATTCTCGATAAAAGTTTTCAAATCGAGATATTTGAAGATAGTGAGAGTATGTACCTTTCTTGGTCTTCGATTTATCCTGCACAATGAGAGAAGGATGCGCAGTCAATTTCGATTGGACGATATCAAAGTTAGAATGAATTCGTGAAAACCAATCGTTCCACCATTGAGAAAAGTCAAGAGTAGATAAGTAATTTGATTCAAAAGTATAAGGGTAGAAATGGAGCGGGCTTTGTGGTAATAGTTTGGCGAGTTCCCGTCCTGCATTCGATTCATTTAACTTGGACTTTGGGGAACTATCGAGATTGAAAAAAGGTAAAGCTTGACTTAAACCGAACTGCCACAAAAAAAGTTGAGGGTAATAGATGACAAGTTGGATATCCTTCGATTGAAAGCCCGATACAAGAACGTCTTGGGTCAAATAGTTACTCCATACATCTAGTAATTCCAATTGTAACCATGGAGTAAGAGCTGAGAATCTTGATTTAAACCAGGTTGGTCCTCGAAGTCTATCACTTACTTTTCCATGGTATACAATAAAAGGAGCCAAACATGAATCAAAATGAAATCGAGTTAACAAAAATTTCAGATAGGTTTTATAACTAGCCTCATTGGAGGATTTTTGCTGAGAATGTCGAGACGATAATCGGGCACCTTCTAAATTAAAACTTAGGGAAACTTTGGATGGTGGGGGAAGGATACTTTCGAAAATCGAAGTAAGCCATAATTGAATGAACCATATAGGACCTGAGAAATTTCCTGAGGGTCTTTGAGTATTCAGAATATCGACTGCCTCATCGAAAGTGGTATAAACATGAGCCAATAAAAGTTTCGCCAAACAAACTCGGGGTTGACCATTGTAAAACTCCAGTGATTCCCAAACTTAGTCTTTACTCTATCAAACCATCTGATGTATAAGGGCTTTTTTTTGGGGAAGGCCCGTTCGATATACTTTTGAAATAGCATATAGAAAATCAATCCGTACCTCGAATTTATGAATAGGGGCTTTACTCTCTAAAGGAAGACAGATAGAAGAGGAAAACGATCCACCACAATAGCGGATAGGACCACCGAATGCATAATCTACGTTATCCACTGCGTAAGGTATAAGTACCTGTGTCTCAGCGATTTTCTGTGAAGCTTCTTCCAACAAGGGGACTGGAGCAAACTTTTTGCTATTTATCTCTATTAGATTTGAAGTTACTATCGACAATGGCGGGGTGGGGAAGTCAGAAGATTTGGAAGTCGCCATTACAGTTATGGAAAGAGTGAAGACAGGAAAAAGGTGTGGCGAAGAAAGAAGATGGGTTAGGTTTTTGGTAAAAATAGTGCAAATTGATTGGAGTATTTAAAGAGGCCAATTAGGGCATTTGAAACGACGAATATGAGAAGAAGGTAATTAATACGTGGCGTTAGTAGATCGCATTGTGATAATGAAAGGTGATGTGATTTGATATTTGACATAAAGCAGCAAAACCCTAAACCCTAAACAATTATTTTTGGGCTTCAGGAATTGAAGAATATAAAATTGGTACAAATATTTATATTCTCTCAAGGGGGCATTTTGTTAGTGGAAAAATCTATATAAGGATCGAAAAGCGGAGGAAAGAAAATCGAGGATCATATGTTAGTTAAAAGATTGATAAATCGAAAAGATGGTTGGAAGACATTCGATGACCCTATAACAATATGAACACATAAATCGAGAATTGGAATCGAGAATCGAAGGAAGAATATTTGATGTCCATTGCTGAAAAAAATCAAGAAATAAGAATCAAGTGTAAAGTTAAGGTTAAGGGAAATCAAAAGCAATTCAAAGTTCTCGAGATTGGAAATCGAGATTGAGGGGAATGGTTAACCTACATGGCTATCGAAATTATGGCTAAATTATAAATTGAGGAACGGTTAAAACGCGTATAGAACGTGGAAGCAGTTTTCTAAACCGTAGAACTAAGGTAAAAATTCGAGGGATGTGCACGTGGAACGTGGTAGCAGTTTTTGTTAATTGCTCTTAGGAGGTTACTTGAAAGATGCTCTATAAATAGAGCAAAGATTGAAGGAAAAGGGGAAATTGGCAGAGAGAACAGAAATGCTAGTGAAAAGTCTACAGGAGAACGACGCATCATGAATTTTCTAATGCTCTGGATTTCCATTTTCATTGATTGTCTTTATCACTTTCTTTACTTTCCCTGGTAATTCACTTTCATGCAATTTACATTCATCAATTTAAGTTTCTATACTTTCAATTACTTGTCATTTACTTTGATGCAATTTAAGTTTTTGTACTTTCAAATTCTTGCCATTTACCGTTTCTGCAATTTCGATTTCCTGCTATTTACTTTCATGCAATTTTAATTCCTTGTCGTTTACAGTTAATGCAATTTCGAGGTTTCCGCATTTTATAATTCTCTGTAATTTAATATTCTGCACTGCCTTTCATTTCGATACGTTTTACTGCTTTCTTTACTTCGTGTTTCTTAATAAAAAATACCAAAAATAATACTTTCGATTGTCAATCTGTATGATATGTTGCATTGTTAACATTCTCGATATTATGACATTTTCGATTATCATACATGTTTTGATTGAAAACTGTTGCTAGCCTACGTAAAAAGAATCTACGTGGTTGAAATTTGATTAGAACCTAAGTTTCTAAGAAATCAAAATCGATTTAATTTCCATAAGAAACATCTCGCATTATATATGATGGTGTGCAATGCGAGTGAGTATATCTTTTTTGTTACCTTTATAGTTCGAGTTATTGAGACATCATGCAAAAGTAAAAATACTTTGGCCTCATGAAATTAAAACTATTACAGAAAACTTGAATCATTCGCCACAATTATCACTCATTTTAATCTATTTTTAAATTGATTGATAAACAATTTTAGTGGTGGTTTCTTATTTTTTTATTTTTTTTTATTTTGATGAAAAATCTCTCTCAAAATAAAAGTTAATAATAAAAAAATTCTCTCCAAATAATGAGTATGATGAAAAATAATTTGTGATGAGAAAATTTTGGAACCGTCATGATAAAAAAACTTCCTCATTAGGAGGAAGTATGCAAGACTAAATATTGTATTAGATTGATAAAACAATATATTGTATAACATTATAAAAGAAACTTTGATTTTAGGTTTTACTGATAAAATAAACCCTTTTTATTTTCCTGCCCATAAAAAAAAGCCTTTACAATAACCAGTAAATTTTATTAATGTTGGAAAGAAAAAAAAAAATATATATATATATATATATATATATATATATATATATATATATATATATGGATTCTAAATTTTAAAAAATAGATAAAAATGAGTGTTATTAAAACATATTTTTAAAGATAAAATTATATTAACAAGCTAATATTTCATATTCTAATGTTTTATTTAAAATTTAAATTAATGTTTTATCTAGAGTCTTCATTAGATTGCATAACCTTACTAACCAATAACCTTGCTAACCAATCAAGCTCAATTTTGTTTAAATGACTTGAGATAAATTTTATTTGTGATGGAGTGAAATTCGACTCAACTTAATTAAGTCAATCACTTACAAATTCATGACAAGTTTTGTATATTCAACAAAAGACTTATGATAAAAGTTATTAAATAATATTAATATTAATAATATCATTATTATTTAATTTATTTAATTAATGTATTAATATATTAATTAAATATATATCTTTAATATTAAAATATTAAATAATATAATTATTTTTAAAAGAATTATTTTAAGAAATAAAAAAGATGAGTTTTGAAATTAAAAAAATTAATAAATATATTTTTAAAAATTTATAACTCATTCGATCTAATTCAACCTAATTAAAGATAGATTTATATTTAATCTAACTTTTGAAAGAAAGTTAAAAATAAATCAATCCAAAAAAACCTTAATATGAAAAACCGAACTTTTTTTATTGCTTCATATATCATTATTCTCGATTTGCGTCAATAATTAATTGCTGTTTCTTTAAGAAAAGATGGCACCTTAATTCATATATAATTTGTGCATATGTTCCATTTTATCAAACAACATGATAAATATTATGTGTTAACGCGGAACTTATTGGAAAATTATT